AAAAAAAAAAAAAAAGAAAGCAAAATGTGTAAAAGGAGCTTCTTATATAAGTGAGTTGCCTTAGAAAAAACTAACAGATTTAGTTAACATCAGCCAATATTTTTAAAAATTATTTTTAGTAAATTTCAAATACCAGGATTTTTTTCTTATTTACGTCTTTCTCATCCTCCCTCCCCCACCATAATTAATGTACAATACTTAGTCCTGTTTATTCCCATATTTCTAAAATATGCGTTTCCTATCCTTTTCTCTTTAATATCCTCACAATATGCAATGGCAGAAGGCTTCCATTCTCCCCCAACACACACTTCAACTTAAGCCCACAAACTGAATCAATAAATAATTCACATCTCCAAGGACTTTGTTTAATAGAGTTTCTCCCTCAGTGACCCAGCTCATTCAAAATAACTCCTCTTTCTTCATGAGGTGAATGTTAATTCTTTTCCAAGGCCAAGTTTTCAAAAGATAATTGAGAAAAATCAGGGAAAAAAAGAGAGGAAACAGCCATTTGAAAATGCTATTTTTCTGTATTGTCTTGTTTTTATGTCTCTGGAAACTCCATCAAGTGTTTCGACCATGGAGTCAGAATCTCAGAAGTAGAGGAGACCTTTTACAGACTGTGTATTCTCTCTTCTCACTCTTTCTGGAATTCCCTCTGCTGAGCTGGCCGACTTGCTGAATTTAGCAGCGAGACCACTTTCCTAAATATAATTGTGTGTTGCATCTGACTGATGTTTTGAAGACATCATTATTGATTTGGCAGCAAAAGGGGATGGTATTTATAGAACCTGGAAAAATGATCAACTCTGCTTGGTTTATTCCTTTGTTCCCAAGGCTAAATTTAGGATGTTGTGTTTTTTTTTTTAAAAGCGCCTGTTTTGCAGAACATTTTGAATGTGTTTTGTTATGTTGCTGCTTGTTTCTGTTAGACTAAGCTATGTTTAAGTCTATATTCTCTTCTAGAGTATTAGATCTTTGAAATAATAATATGTTGTAATTATAACAGTAATAGCTTACTCTGCACCAGGCACTGTTCAAAATGCTTTATACATGTTATCCCACTGAATCCCCTCAACAACCCCATCAAGATAGATATTATTATTATTCCCAGTTCACAGATTAAAAAAACTGAAGTACGGAGAAAATAAGGAACTTCCCCAGGATAATGGAGTTGGTAAGTGTCAGAGCTGAGATTCAGAAGCCCGTCTCTGAGTGTGGTGACACTGTGCTGTGTGGAGAGGAGAGCCCAGGATCTGAAGCAGAAGTCCGGGTTCTGCCACATCCTACCTGATAATCCACTGGCCTCCCTGGGCCTCAGGGATAACGGTCAGAGCTGCTCTGCCTGTGTTTTGAGGTGTTTCTGAGGATCAAATGAAATGATGATGAGAGAATTTGGTAAACTATAATTCTCATATTGAGTTGTGTTAGTAAAATGAAAACACCTTCAGGAAGATTCTAACCTCGTCTTTTCCTACTTCATGAGCTTGATTTTGCGGTAATCCCAGGGACATGGGACCCGTGAAGAATGCTGTTTCTAACTGTGAGCTTTCATGGGCATGGGCACCAGTGCAGCTCGTTCTTCACCAGACTTCAACACCCTGAACGGCAGTTGCATTTCTCTCCAACAGTGTCTTGTCCAGTCTGTGCATTCAGGGGCTTCATGTCTGTGTTGCTATTTGGACACGTAAAGAGGCTACATTTGGTCCATCAGAGTGAGGTTCAGACGTTAGGAGCTGATGACAGACCGTGCCCAGTGCTGGCCTACAAGTTCCATCAAACTTAGATAGTCTGATTAAACCAGAGGGAAAATGAATTGTTACCGTTTTAAACAGCCTGAGTTAAAAGTCTTTATTTCTGAGTAGTATTTTAAAATCTTCCCAGATTCAAACACTATTGGGATCAAATACTCAGTTTAGGAAAGAAACACGAGATGTTCTAGGGAGATCTGTTTTTGAGTTACTGTTGTTCCCTGGAACTGTCTGGTCACATTGTGGTTAGCCTTGAAGACTCTCTGTGTGACTAGTAGATATCTGTTAACGCAGATGAAATTTGCATCAGGAGATACCACCCAACTTCCTGAAAGCACCATCTGCCCTTGTTATTTCTCCTTCCTCATCGTGTGAGAGCTGTCCCGCGGGTCTTTTGAGACTTTTTTCTGAAAATCAGATGAAGTGATGATGAGAGAACTTTGGTAAACTATAATTCACATGTTGGGTTGTGTTAGGAAAATGAAAACACCTTCATGCCCATGAATAATCTTCCTGCTCCTTGTGAATCTTGTGTGAACCTTGTCACAGTGTTCAGTCTCCTGTCTTCATAGATCTGGCAATTGATGATAAATGCTGCATCCTTGAAACTCTTCTTCTCTAGTGTTATTTCACCTCAGTTGTTTTGGTTCTCTTCCCAGTGTCTATCCATGCATCTAGATGTAGACATTTAGCTGTATCTTGTCTTGTATGTGCTCGTGTATGTGTGTGTGTGTGTATCTCTTTTGTTGGCAATTAGGGCACCGTCTGAAAATTCCCTACCCTTCTGCCTCCTCTTCTTGTTCTCCTCAGCATTCCTTTCTCCTCCACCCCCAACTCCTATAAGAAACTCCTAATTTCTGCACTTAGTTTTAGTGTCTCCTTTCTCATACTCTTTGGTTCATTCACTCAACACGTATTTATTGAGCCACTGGGAACATGAGAGTGAACAGGACTTGCTAAGTTCACACTCATTCAACAAGTCCCTGCCCCCGGGAGGTTACAGCATAGTGGAGGAAACAACTGATAAGAAGGGAACCGGCTCCTGTAAGATTTGCTGATTGTGACAAGAGTGATGAGGAACACTGAAGTGGTTAGGCAGAGAGTAAGTAATGAGGGGTGACAGGGAAGGAAAGGCTCTCTAAGAAGGTGACATCTAAGCACTGATTAGGAGGATGGGGGTGGGTGGCCCTGAGAGCTGGGTGGAGTGTTTCCGGCAGGGGAATAGTTTGGGCAGAGGCCCTGAGGTGGGGAAGAATGTGCCACGTTTGTGGATCTGAAAGATCTGCGGCTGGAGAGAGTGAGAGGGAGGGGAAGGGACATGGATGGGGTTGGGGGAAAGCAAAGATCAGATCATGCGGACCAATCAGGCTGTGTGTGGAGTTCAGATAAGAGCAACCAGAAGCCACTGGAGGGTCGAGTGCAGCTAGTGAAGTAATAGGATTTACGCTTTTAAAAGATTTCTCTGATTTCCATGTGCAAAATATATTGGGGAATTATGGAAGCAGAGAGACCAGTTCCGAGGCTGCAGACCCATCAAGAGACAGTGCAGCTGTCTGGGAAAGAAACCTACAAGTTGAACTATTTCTGTTACATGGATGACCTCTCAAGTCTGTATTTCTGGTTCAGATCTCTTTTGTCTTTGATTGCTAGACCAGTGG